CCAAGTGGTGTTCAAAATTTTCTAACAAAACTTGTGGCTTCTGTCTGAGTACATATATTTATATATGGAAAAAACTTCGTTCAACATCAACTGATGTAACGGGAGCATTTTTCAAACTAACCAAAACATTTGGTTCTAAATTAATTGTTTCCGAAATATTTCCAGCTAGAACACTGACTACTTCAGAAAGAATAAGGTAACCTTTATTTTTTTCCATAGTAGCTTCAAATTTTTTTTAAAATATCTTTTCCAATATTACCTCTAACGTTCCGACAACATGACGCAAATTCTTTTATTAATGCTGTACTTTCGAACAATGACAGTTTTGGTGATTCTAACTGAGTAATTGTTTTTTGAACAAAACTAAAATTTGATTTTATAAATGAAAGTTCTTGTTGAAGCAAGTTACTCTGAAAAGTTTGTTTAGAATCCAAAAGAGATTGGGAATTTTCATCTGTTAACGTATCAATTATGTTCTTTATTTTAATAAAATGATCTGCATAAAAATTAGCTGCTTCTAACCATGTTCCCCATCGCGTTAAAATAGGTTGTAGTGGAAGAGGAATGTTAGGTAGCATTTCTTTATAAAGTTGAATTCTTATAGGAGATTTAAGAAATACTTTTTTGACACTGGATATCATGGTATTTACAAGAGGAAACTTTTTTCGTATTTCCTCTGCAACTCTGTTTAATCCATGCGCTACACAAGTAACATGTATTAAATCTGGGAAAAATATATTTAAATTTCGTCCTGCTTTCACCATATAAGGAGCAGCATCCGATAAAATAAGCAGTAATTTATTAGAAGGAATAGTTGTCGGAAGAAAAAAAGTTGCTAATGTTTCTTGTATAAAACGCGAAATTGTTAAAGCATTTGTTTTCTCAAGTTGCTGGCATGAAATAAGATAAGATTTTGGTAAGGTATCTTCTTTAAGAACACCAATCAATAAATGAGCAATATACTTTCCTGAAGAATCAGTGGTTTCGTCTACAGATATGTAAAAATACTTATCTGCAATTTCTTCCTTAATATTAATTAACACCGACGAGTATAGCCCGGTCACATTATTTCTTCTTAGAGACCGATCACTTGGAACATTAAGTTTGCAATATTTTTTTAGAAACGAACTAAAATTTACATTTGCTAATTTTAAAAGCGGTATGTTTGCAGACACTAATGCGCGACACAAGTCTTCATTAAAAGTTTCTTGCTCATCTAATTTTTTTGAAGTAGATTGGAAACATTTAGCCATTGAAGTTTGATGTTTTCCTCCTATTTTTCCTTTTTTGCAATGTGTGAAGCAGTTCTCACATGTTGGTCTATCTGAAATTTCTTCTCACATGCTATCTATAAATAAAAATAAAATCCTTTATTTTAACCCAACCTTTAAAATATAAAAATATACAAGGTGTTTTTGGTTAATCAAATAACTGGTTTGGAAAAAAAAAACACTCGCTAAGTGTTTTAAATGCAGTATTAATCCACAAATTAGTTTTTGTTACTAACCATTAGTACATCATATAACTTATTTTAAAATTCAACAAAAGTTTTTTTTTTTGTTAATTCAATTACAATAAAAATAATTGTGTTTTAGAATAGCTGACTTCATAAAAAAAAGTAAAGGTGAAAAATTTTTCTAAATACACACCATTGTATTGTACCATGGACAATTTTTTCTCACTAAAGGAAGCTATTTTTCATTTAAAAACAACCTACGAGTAGTAAATTTCAAGTAAATACGTTCCCCCTCTGTGGCTCAGTGGTAAGAGCGCCTGCCTTTAAATCTAAAGGTCGTGAGTTCGAATCCCACCTGGGTGGAAATTTTCGTTTATTAAAAAAAAATTAATAAATGAAAATAATTTCTATCCTTGTGTGATCGGTACACACCGGAGGGACCGCAGACGTTCGGATACAATTAGCGTCTCTTAGCAAAGACAATGACGTCGACTTTGCTAAGTATCAAGACAATTACTCTACACACACAAACACACACACACAAACACTACATTAATAAACTTATCTTGATTGAGACTGGCTGAATGACAATTGTCCAAGCCAAAACACACAACAAAAATAAAAAAAAAAAAAAAAAAGTAAATACGTTTATTGGTTTTAAAGTTATTGTTGTTATTAACTAAAAGAATTTATTTTTTTTTTAATTTTAACACCCTGTATCTCGAAAAGTAAATAAGTTTGACCCCTCATTAACTATATCGTTTTGTTCAATTTTTCGAGAAGTATCTACAGTTAAACGTTGTAAGTGTCATTTGGAAACACCCTGTATGTATGAAATATTAGATATTTAATAGAAAATATTAGATACTTACAATTTTGCCACAGACTGAACAGTAGATTTTTCCCATATCCATAGACAGCTCTTTATAAGGTTTAATCCAAGTTGAAGCACTGGTTGTTTTAGGCATTATAAAATCACAATCTTCCTTTTTGTTACGCACAACGAGTGTTTACGCTTTGAATATCAAAACAAAAATGATTTACAAATCTGAGCATCAAATTAGAAATGTTTAGGTACCTAATTCAATAAACTGGGAGATTTTGGAAAATCCCTAAATTAGGAACAAAACTATTAGCCGTTTACCTGCTGTTAAGATACAATAAATTGTAGATAGATTTGGGGATTAGATCATAAAATGCAAATGAGCGAACCCTTAGCGATTATCCAATAACTGAATGACCCAGTGACCGAGACTTTCTAAGAATGTTGAGGGCTACTTAAATTGATCTTATTTGAAATTGTAAATGTTTTGTACCTGTAGAGATTACGTACTTAGATCATTTCTTGATTAAAATGACTACAAAAATTTTATACAGGAATTGAAATAAATTGGTATGTTTAAAAATTTTCAAATACAGTATAAAAATCTGAACTTTTATGCACTTAATGCAAACTTTTATACAAATATGCCAAAATATGAAATATTTGCATAAAATATGCACAATATGCAAAATATGCAATATGCATATTTGCCGAAGTCTAGTTATAATCGTTTGTTTTATTAATGTTTGTCCCTAAATAGATATAATTCTGAACTCGTTCTATCGTTTTAATACTTACGTGTAGATTGATGTACTTCTAATGCTTTTTTGAATATTTCTCCTGAGTATGCATTAATTAGTGATGGCGATAAGACACAGCTCTGTCTCACATCTCTTCGATGTTCTTCGATATTCTGTGTGTCGATATTCTTTGTTCTTAGCAGTTTTATTACCAAATTATGTTTCACTGTATCAAATGCCTTGTTATAATCTAAGGAGCAGTTATAGATGTCCTGGTTTACATCTAGACATCTCTGTATTAACACATTTACCGCATGTAATGCTTCTCTGGTTCCTTGAGTATTTCTAAATATAAACTAAGTTTGTCCAATGTCTTGTTCTACCTTTTTATATATCCCACGATGAATAACCTGTAGGAATACTTTTAGAATGTGGCACATTAGACTGATGGTACGGAAGTGTGGCAACATTGTCTGGTGTTTTTCTTTTTCAGTATAATCGCAAATGTTGATAGAAGCCATTCTTTAGGTAATATTAGTGTTCTGTATATGATATTGAATAATTCGTCAATAACATGTATATTGCAGTCGACGAAAAGTTGCAATATTTCTAATTTAAAAAGCATTAAAAAAATAACGGCGACAGTATGCAACCTTGGCTGACCCCTCTCCTTATCTCCACTTCTTTCTGACAGATTCTCTTTCTATTTTCACATTTGATCGTTGACTGTAGTATAAATTTGATATCAATGTCATGTTTTACCTTATCGAATGCCTTGTAGTAGTCTATAAAGCATACATAAAAATCTCGATTAACATCCAAACATCTTTGGAAAAGCACGTTAAAAGAAAATAGTGTCTCTCTTGTGCCCACTGCATTCCAAAATCCAAACTGGGAATCACTAGTATCCATCTCCAGCTTAGCGTGTACTCTATTATGGATGAGTTTTAGCAGGATTTTTAAGGTACGTGACATTAGACTGATCGTTCGATAATCACTACATTCTTTAGCATTTACTTTCTTTGGTAGACAAATAAATGTTGATGTCAGTTTTAGCAATTCACTTGGTATTTCATCTAGACCAGCAGCTTTATTATTTTTCATGGACTTTACTGCATGCATAACTTCTGACTTTATTATTTTCGGGTCCCTCGTCTTTACTCTGATTGATTATCTTCATATATTTTTTTCTGTCTCTGAGCATGGAATAATTCCTCTATATTTTATTTCCATCTGCCTAATTTTTATTCCATCTTCTAGGACAAACAAGGAAACTAAAATGTTTCCTAGTTTGTCCAATAATATGCTTAAAGTTTTTTGTTTTGCTACCCCAGCTAATTCTTTACCTTTCCTATAGAGATTGAAGTTATCATAATTGTTTTGTAAGTCTTCTATTTCTTGGCATTTTCCAGTGAAATAAGTCTCTTTAGCTTTTCTTATTTTCCTTCTTATTTGATTATGCAGCTGTTGATACTGAGTTATGTTAATATTCTTTTGCCGTCTTCAGTCCTTCATTATTTCCAAGATTTCTTCTGTCATCCAATCTCCTTTCTTGCATCTGGTTATTGTGAATTCTCAGCGACTTGGTTCGATAATTGCATTTTTTAAAAATTGCCACTGTTTTTCTACATCACCATCAATTGATTCCGGTGTGAATTTTAAGTTTACATTAACTTCTTGTTTCAGTTTTTTTTCACGTTTTCTGATTACTAATTAAATATAGTGTGTTCTATGTAAAAAAAAGACGACGTCATAACTTCGATAAAATTAACTAACAATAAGATGTGCAACAAAAAAACTTAAATTAAAAAATAAAATCAAGATATTTTGGTGACTGTTCCAGACTATCTTGGGAACAACATTGTATATTATCTAAAAACCGCAATTTCCTCAGTGACGATATAATGTTGTAGGTTGTATTAACAAAACATTAAAATACAGTCATGGCAAAGTCCTTGGGGGAACCTCCATTATTAATTTCATGTTACACGTCCGAGGAAATCGAAGAGACTACGATAAATGGGCAAACCTAGGCAATCCGGGCTGGTCTTTTAAAGAGGTCCTTCCATATTTCCTGAAGTCCGAAGATTTTAATGTAGACGGAGGTGACGAAGGTTTTCATAATAAAGGAGGCTATCTATCGATCAGTGATGTACCTTTTAGAACGGGATTGGTCGATGCTTTAGTGAAGAGTGGACAAGAATCTGGTTATCCGTATGTTGATTATAATGGGAAAGAACAAATAGGGGTAAGAATAATTTGATGTTTATACAGAATAAGTACTATTTAGGTAATGAAGTTAAAATCAAATCAAATTAAACTCCTTTATACCTACTTCTTCTTAACGTGCCCTATCAAGTCCCCTTAACGTTGGCGATTAACATGGCGAAACTGTCTCTGTCTCGAGCTATTCTAAAGAGTTGCTCAGCTTTCTTTATTCCTGTCCACTCTCTGATATTCTTCAACCAAGAGGCCTGCTTTCTACCAATTCCTCTGCGTCCTTCGATTTTACCCATCATAATAAGTTGAAGAATATTATATCGGTCTCCCCTTACTACGTGTCCAAAATAGACCATCTTTCTACATTTGATGATATCAAGCAGCTCGCGAGCAGCATTTGCTCTCTCAAGGACTGCCACATTTGTCAGCATAGCCGTCCATGGAATTTTTAGTATACGTCTGTGCAGCCACATTTCAAAGGCCTCCAGACGATTAATTGTGGATATTTTTAGTGTCTTATACACCGTATAAGAGGACTGATCAAATGTAGCATTTAACCATACGCTTTCGAAGTTGAAGTTTCAAGTTATCATTACAGAAGAATGACCTCATTTTTAAAAATGTCGGGCGGGCTATCTCGATTCTACATTTTATCTCTTGATCTGGATCTAGTTGTTCAGTAATATGGCAACCAAGATATTTAAATCTGGACACTCTTTGAATTATATGACCATCAACATATAATCGTGCATCTTGATGTGCTAAACGGCTAAACACCATGTGTTTTTTTTTGAACAGTTTATGTTAAGGCCAAACTCTCTTCCCACTGTATCAATGGCATTTAAAATGCATTGTAATTCATTCATGTCATCACTTAAAATAACTGTATCGAACTGATTGTATTTATCAGAATTCCATTAACTTTCACGCCCCATTCCAAATTATGCAGCGCTTCTTTAAATAATATTCTATCTGAATATAAATTAAATAACAGTGGGGATAGTATACAACCCTATCTGACACCTCTTTGTATTTTACATATTTCTGTTGATTTTCCGTTTATGCAAGCTGTCACTGTTTGACGCCAGTATAACTTTTCTATGAATCGTATGTCTTGACTATCAACTCCTTTATCTTTTAATATTGTAATTAATTTGTGATGCTGTACTCAATCAAAGGCCTTTTCATAGTCAATAAATACAGCAAAGACGTCTTTCCTTTGATCTGGACATTTCTGCAGTAATACATTTAGTGCAAAGAGGGCGTCCCGAGTTCCCAATCCATTTCTGAAGCCAAATTGCGTTTCTTCACATTTATCTCTGATTCTACTGTGGATAATGCGTAAAAATATTTTCAAAGTGTGGCTCATAAGGCTTATCATTCTATAATCGCTACAGTTTTTCGGACGTTGTTTTTTTGGTAGTGTTATGAATTTGGACTTTAACCAATCTTCAGGGATATCACCAGTCGAATAAACATCATTGAAAAGTTTGACCAGTATTCCAATGTTCTCCTCATTTATAAGCTTTAACATCTCTGTCGGTGTGTTATCAGGGCCAACGGCTTTCTTGTTCTTTTCTTTATATTTTCGGCCAACTTTATAGCATGCAGTATTTCTGATTTTAGTATTTCTGGTCCTTCACCTTTAACTAAAGTCTTCGGTTCTTCGGGTCTATCATCATTATACAGTTCACTTATATAATGGTTGTTCGAATTTCATGTTCGTCTGTTATCATTTTTCCCGACGAATCGGTTGTAGTGTGTGGAGTTTTTTTATGATAAAGACCAGCTACTTCTCTAACTTTTTTAAACATATTAATTTCTTGCATTTATCCCCCATCCATTTTTCTTTTGTCACCTTTATTTTTTGTTTAATTAGTTTCTGTTTTTCTTTATATTCTGTCTTGTTACCTTTCAGTTTCCTTCTCTGCTCCATTAATTCCAGGATTTCATCAGTCATCCATTGTTGTTTTTTGTGAATGTGTAACGTTGTTAAATATTTTTCTATTACTTTCAAGGTAAGATCTTTAAATGTGTTCCATATTTCTGTGTTGTTTTCATTTATTGATTTCTTTAGCTCATTGTTTAAGTCATTTTCTATTAACGTTGTTGGATATTGAGATATTTAATTTTGGTGTTTTGGGGCTTTCTTGGACTTTTTTGAGCTTCACTTTGATGTCAGTTATTACAGGGTTATGGTCTGAACTGATATCTGCACCAGGATATGTCGTTACTCATATACTATAATATTAAATTAAAACACAGTTCCTTGTCTTTTATTTTTTGTAAAACAGAACTAATTGTTACATGTTGTTTGGCTTTATACATATTATATATTATAATATTTTTAATTGCAAGTTTAATTAATTAGTGCAAATCAAAATTTTTGGATGTCGACAATTTCTCCTGCTTACTTTATTTATTTCATCCTCACCCATGTTATTAATTTTTCAGAATGTCCTCTTTGAGATACCACAAGCATCGTATATGCGTTCCTGAATTGCTATAATAGATGTCAATGGACCCTTATTATTTTTTTCCAAATTAAAATATCTTTTGACTCTCAGAACTAAACGACGTTCTTCTGGAGATCAAAAAACACTACGTTTTGACTGTATTTTATTTTCAAATTACTCATTTTACTTTAAAGTGCCGCTTTACTACACTACTTTAAAAAAATAGGGTACTTATATACAATTACTACACCCTAAAAAGGACAAGGGTTGTACAATAGACGAAACAAACGAACACAAATTATTTAACAGCCAATGCTGTACAAAAACAAACACTGCATTTATTGCGATTGCAAAAACAGTTCGCACGTTTTAAATAAGATTTTTGCTAATTATGTATTTTGCTAAATTATTAAATAACACCAATACAACCCGCGATTATCAATTAATTTTTAACGATAGACAGAAGTGTAATATGATGACAAGTTTGAATTTGATCTACTTTGTCGATAACAGTGTCGTTAACAAAAAGATATTTTTAAATAGCATGCACCATTTTTTAATGTGTGGATTTAAGAAATACATTACTAAACAAATTTTTAAAGTGTTTATAAGGGAGAATATAACTTGAGCAGTGCTGACTGAAACAACAGAGCAGAAAAATATTATTCATAAAGGTAGTGTAAAATATATCGAGCTTATAGGTATACATAGGCGCTAGTAATAAAGTTACCAGCATTTAATTGCAAAGCAGTTTTCTTAGGTGAGAAATACTTTATTAAATATTATAGTATTGATTTATGTTATTTATGCTGGGTCAAATGACCCATTCAAAACGTCCCATGAGCTTGTAAACTATTATGGGCATGACTAATAAGTAGTATATTTTATGAGTTTAGTATATATTTTAACAATTAACAAATATTCTGATTTTTTAAATTAAAAGTATGTAACAGTAGGTTGATTTTAGCTATTACTGAGTTGTTAGAATTTTTTTTTGTACATTTCCGACAATGATTCTGTTAAATATTCTCGAAAGCTCAGTCAATAAACTATACGAGTTTAAATACAGTGTCAGGCTAATCAATGGTAACAATAATCAGAGTTGCTGTCAGAAAATGTATTTATTTAAAAAATATTTTCAACAAGGCATGTTTTTCAATTAACTGAAAAATATTTTGTAAAATGCAGAAAATAAAAAATAAAATGTTAGCAAAATATTTTCAATTAACAGCTATTCTGAAAATACTCAAATTAAATCTATACCTAAACAAGTAAAATGGAAGTATTGAACTTTATGCAAATATGGAAAATAAAGTAGTATATATGTTTTAGCTAATGCTATTATGAATTATTTTCCATTTAATGGTGTCGAGTTTATTTGTCCTATTAAAAAAATATTTTTATGTTTTGATATACCTAAATTCCTGTTAGTATAATAAAATAATAATCTGGATTTATTTATTTATCGTATGGCAATTACAACACATTTAGAACAAAATTACAAACACTAGTAATATAGGTATATGACAAACTTTAAATAATTACAAACATCAAGTTTATTAACATAATCAATTGACTCTGAAGTTGCAAACAGGAAGTCTTCAGGGCTACCGCTGTAGAATCTTAAGGGACACTCTTCAATAATGTGGTCGATCGTTTGGTTCTTTCCACAGTCACATTGAGGAGACGGATTCTTTCCCCATTTATGTAGCATATATTATCTGCCATGTCTGGTTCGGACCCTGTTTAGAGTGGACCATGTTTTACGTGGAAGATCAAAACCTGGTGGCTTGTGGGTAATACAGGGCATGTTATTTTGCCATGCATTCCATTCTTGGGATCATGCATTCGTATGTTGAACTTCTCATGTATCATTCTTGCCGTTTTCATTGGTGGTTTTCTAGAACGTAGACGGGTATTTCGTGCATCCTCGGTATCTTGGTGGATCGGCAGGTTTACATTGTTCATGATCTTTTTGTATTTACGTGTAAGTGCGTCAACTCGTCGTAAATGTGGAGGTGGAATGTGACTTAATACTGGAAGCCATTGTGTGGGAGTTGATTTAATTGTACCAGCTATCGTCCTCATAGTGCTGTGCAGCTGAGTGTCGACCTTTTTTACGTGTGGACTGTGTAGCCAAACTGGGGCACAATATTCAGCGGTCGAGAAAACAAGGGCTAAAGCAGTAGAGCGGAGAGTGGAAGCCGATGCTCCCCAGGTGGTACCGCAGAGCTTCTGCATAATGTTATTTCTTGTACTCAACTTTTGGGCAGTTTTTGTTAAATGCTTTTTAAATGATAGCGTTCTGTCTAGTGTTACGCGCAGTTAATAATCTGGAAATATTCGGCTACGACTTTAACTGCAATTGTAGTCAATTGCAATCAAGCGTAATGTGTAAATAATATTTTAAAATAATAATTAAAATAATATTTAACACTCGCGAAGACGAGAAGCTAAAAAAAATAAATAAAAATACATTCTTCTTATTCTTAATGTGCATAACCGTTACGAATGTTGACGATCATCATGGCAATCTTTACCTCATCTGCGGCAGCGCGGAAAAGCTGCACAG